GGCTGGCCACTGGCTCTAGAACTAGCCTTCTCAGATGTGGGTGATGGAGAGGTAGGGTTTCAGTTTCACTTTGAGGCACATGAGAGAGTTGTCTTGTTTCTCTCTGAGTGGGAATGGAGCAGCGCACTGCGACTCAGAAGAGGGCTAGGGGAGTGTCCGGACAGACTCCTCCCACCCCAGGCTGGTCCCTGACTTGGAATGAATCCAAACTCCGCCACACCCTGTGGGATTATGTGACGTGGCCCATGTCAGACGGGAGATCGGCAAGAGAACACCCAACCCCTTTTTAAACAGTGTTCCATGCCAGCCTTTCTCTCTAGGTTTAAACCAAGCTCATCGCCATGATAACTGACGGCCTCACTAATTTCTAAAAACACTTTTGTCTTTTATCCCCTCATTTCAATGGAGCCCAAATCTCCAGGTGCACCTCCCGCACGGCGCCTCCAAGCCCTGGCACGCGAGTCTCCAAGGGGCTGAAGGTCTCCCTCGAAGTATGACACTACTCATTCCAAGCCAGGCTGAGCAGGTGGTGTTTCTGATCCCCGGGCATGTTACCGGGAGTGCTGGCACACCCAGTATTGGCACGACAGCCCAGTGTGATCAGGACCCAGTGGACTGGTGTTAGCTCGGAGTTTAGAAATGGTCCTAGCCTGGCAGGTGAAGACATCATGCCATCCCTGTCACCGTGGAGCAGTGGCACTGAAGTGAAGGGCTGTGAGTTAGAAACTTTCTCTTGGCTGGCAGAAGAAAGGTTTTAGTCATTGACCATTGACCTGGCCAGGATTCCAACCAGTGTTTAGCAGTCAAAGGCTCGCTGTTGTATTCCTGTTCTCCCTCGTCATCCAGTTCTTTGGCCTCTTTGGCACTCGGAGATACCAAGCCCCCTGGACATATCACGTGCACCTCTTGTTCTGACAGGTGTATTGCACTGGAGCAGGCTTGCCCATATGGGGTGTCCTCCATGGTCATTTGGCCTCCCTGGGACTGTGCAGTCCTCTAGTTAGTTCACGGGATACACAAAAGAGGGAAGTCAAGTATCAGAGGGGTAGCCATGTTAGTCTGAATCTGCAAAAGCGGTGATGAGTCCTGTGGCACCTTATAGACTAACTGCAGTGTAGGAGCATAAGCTTTCGTGGGCAAAGACCCACTTCGTCAGATGCATGTAGTGGAAATTTCCAGAGGCAGGTATAAATATGCAGGCCAGAATCAGGCTGGAGATGACGAGGTGGATCCAATCAAGGAGGATGAGGGCCCACTTCTAGTAGCTGATCTGGAGGTGTGAATTCCAAGAGAGCAGAAGCCACTTTTGTAGTTAGCGAGCCATTCACAGTCATTGTTTAATCCAGAGTTGATTGTGTCAAACTTGAAGATGAACTGTAGCTCAGCAGTTTCTTTGAAGTCTGGTCCTGAAGTTTTTTTGCTGCTGGATGGCTACCTTTAGATCTGAAATTGTGTGTTCAGGAAGATTGAAGTGTTCCCCTTCAGGTTTTTGTATGTTGCCATTCCTAATACCAGATTTGTGTCCACTGCTTCTTTTACGTAGGGACTGTCCAGTTTGGCCGATGTATATAGCAGTGGGGCATTGTTGGCACATGATGGCATATATAATGTTGGGAGATGTGCAGGAGAATGTACCAGTGACAGTATGGCTGATCCGGTTAGGTCCTGTGATGGTGTTGCTGGTGTATATATGTGGGCAGAGTTGGCACCGAGGTTTGTTGAAAGGATTGGTTCCTGAGTTCGAGTTATTATGGTGCGGTGTGTAGTTGCTGATAAGAATATGCTTCAGGTTGTCTGTGGGCAAGGACTGGCCTACCTCCCAAGGCCTGTGAAAGCGAGAGATCATTGTCCAGGATGGGTTGTAGATCATTAACGATGCGTTGGAGAGGTTTTAGCTGGGGACTGTAGGTGATGGCCAGTGGTGTTCTGTTGGTTTATTTCTTGGGCTTGTCCTGTAGCAGGAGGCTTCTGGGTACATGTCTGGCTATCAATCTGTCTCCTCACTTCCTCGTGTGGGTATTGCAGTTTACAGAATGCTTGTTGAAGATCTTGTAGGCGTAGGTCTCTGTCTGAGGGTTTGGAGCATATGCGGTTGTACCTCAGTGCTTGGCTGTAAACAATGGATCGTGTGGTGTGTCCGGGATGGAAGCTGGAGGCATGCAGGTAAGTATAGCAGTCGGTAGGTTTCCAAAAAAGGGAAACGGCCCTTCTGCATCCAGCGTGCGCTGCTCCTGCCAGGTTCTCCGTGAGTGACACAGTCGCAGTCTAGGACAAGGTTACAGACTCAGCGAGAGAGACAACCCACTGGAAGAATGCAGAGGATGTCTGGACACTCTGCTCCTGAATGAGATGCAGGAAACTGCCTGTTCTTGTGCTGTGTCATGTAGAACTGACTCATCCTTAGAGAAGGGGCCTGATTTCCTGACCCCACGCGGGCAGTCATGAAAGTGTATATAGGAGGGTCAGGCCCAGGCTGAGAAGTGCGGGAGGGCTCTTCGGATTGGAAGGCGCTCTCAGAAGTGTCGTCTCTATGATTTGGGGAATTTCTTTCTGGACTCAGGCTTTCTGGGATCGTAGGCATGTCCCCATGCAGCACCTGGCACAATGGGGCCTGGGCTACTACTTTATTAGCAAGGACTATTACTTAAAGTGGCCAGTTGCTTTCTTGGTCCCCAGCTACCTCCCCCACCAGCAAAGAAGGAGCTTACGTCCTGCGCCTGGTGCATGAGTCTCTTGAAAAGGACAGGCAGTGTCTTCAGTGTCTCGCCTCTCATGAGTGCCCCCACTGGTCAAGTGCAGGTTCCTCCACTGCCTGCGGCCAAAAGCCTCTTCAGCAACACAGCCCTCCGGCCGAGTCACACCCCGTGCATGACAAACCCCTTTGAGACACACCTCTCGTAGCAGCCCATCCCAGTGCCCTCTGTAGAGCATCTCTGAGTCTCTCGGTTTGTTGCCCCACTCTGGATGAGAGCAGGGCTTCTCCTCCTGAAGACAGTTTCATGTCCCTAGCTTCGAGCTTTACCTCAGTTCATGGTCTCTCATTCGCTCCCCACACAGAGCTCTCCATGGTGCTGCTGCTGCAGCTCCCTCAGCCAGCCAGTCACTCAGTCTTCACCTCTTCAGTGTTCCAGAGACACTGAGCTGATTCTAGTCCTACAGCTCCTTTTATAGGGAATTTCTGGCCTCTGATTGGCTGGTTCCTCCATAGCCACTCTAGCCTCCTGGAGGACTTGTCTATAGCCTTTTTTCAGGGGCAGGGGGAAGGTGTGTGGCAGGACCACAGAGCCTCCAACAGGGGACCTCGGCCTGATTCACCCCATCCCACTTCCCCACACAGTGCCATGGCAGGGAGGGTTCAGAATGCTGCTGCTCTGCCATGGGCTGCTGGGTGTCTCAGGCTCTGCAGAGACCAGTGCAGTTTCCATGCAAGTTTTGCATACCATGGACTTAAATTTACAAAAAGAAAACTGTTCCACAAGGTGTGCCATCACAGCTTCCCACCCCAGTGTCCTGCCAACCTAACCCATTGGGAGAGGCACTTGTGATTTCAGTAAAATGCATAGTAGCAATACAAAGCTTTGCATGAACCGAAGCATGTAAGACTGACCTCGCTGAGTCAGACCAATGGTCCATCTAGCTCAATGTCCTGTCTTCTGACAGTGGCCAATGCCATGGGCTTCAGAGGGAATGGACAGAACAAGGCAGCTACTGAGTGATCCATCCTGTCTCATCCAGGCTCACTTTGTGGCAGTCAGAGGTTTAGGGCAGGGTTGGGGAACCTATGGCCCAGGGGCCAGATCCAGCCCCCAACTTGCCTGGATCCAGCCCCCAAGACTCAGGGCTCCTCCACTCCAGCACTGGGGAGTCTGTGCTGGTGCTCCAGTCCCACCCTGCCTGGTAAGCACCCCGTCACCCAGATCCCACACCACCACGCTCCTGCAGCCTACCTCCTGCCCAGCCCTCTCACCCCAGCGCACTCCTGAATCCCCCTCCTCTCCTGCATCCTCCTTCCCACCCATACCCCAAGACTGCTTCCTGGCAACCCTCTCCCACACACTGAACCCCTCATTTTGGCCCCACCTCAGAGCACCTCACTTTGTGGCCCTTCACTGATTTTTTTCACTAGGGCAGACACTCCTGACCCAAAGAAGGTTCCCAACCACCTCTGGTTTAGGGACACCTAGAGTACTGGGTTGCATCCCTGACCATCTTGGCTAATAGCCATTAAGAGAGTGTATCCTCCTTGAACTTATCTAGATATTTTTGGAGCCCCGTTACACTTTTGGCCTTTACCACATCCCCTGACGAGTTCCAGGTTGACTTGTGCACTGTGTGAAGAAGTGTTTATTTTCATGTGTTTTAAACCCATTGCCTGTTCATTTCATTGGATGACCCCTGGTTCTTGTGTGGTGGGAAAGAGGATGTATCACTTCCTTATTTGCTTTCTCCACAGCAGTTGTGATTATACAGACCTTTTCCATATCCCCCTTAGTTGTCTGTCTGCTAAGCTAAACAGTCCCACTCTTTTTAATCTCGGTTCCACCTCCCTAGTCATCTTTGTTGCAGTTCTCTTTAATGTTTCCAATTCTAATATAATTCTGATGGCGTGACCAACACTGCATGTCGCATTCAAGGTGCCATGGACTGATACAGAGGCATTAAGATATTCTCTGTCTTATTTTCTATCCCTTTCCTAATGGTTCCTAACATTCTGTCAGCTTGTTTGCCTGCTGCTGCACAGTAAGCAGATGTTTTCAGAGAGCTATCCATGACGACTCCAAGATCTCTCTTGAATGACAACAGCTAATTTTAGACCCATTATTTTGTATGTACAGTTGAGCGTATGTTTTCCAGGGTGCACTACTTTGCATTTATCAGCAGTCAATGTCGTCATCCTAAAAATAACTTGCTGTAAAGAGCAAAACAAACAAACAAAAAATACCTTTGACCCTTTGGTGGGTAATTAACTGCATTAACTGTGTCTTTTCCTCTCTCCACAGCATTGTTACTGCTGTATGATGTTACAAACAGAGCCTCGTTTGACAACATCCAAGTAAGTTGGACACGTTCAGGTCCCATGTGGAATGGGTTGAGAGTTCAAGGCAAATATTTTGTGTGTCTTGAGTTGTTGTTGTATGCACATTGTTGGTGGGGAGGCTGGTGTTGATGGCCTCCTAGATTTGTTTTGTAGTGTTTATAAGACCCTGTTGGCCATCTTAAGACAAGGGTTGGTGAATCTGGCCCAGAAAACAAGGACAATTCTCACCTCCCTGCAGCTCACACTCAGCTCTTTAGTCCAGGCCTGCCGACAGAGGGAGGTAAAGGGGGCAGTTGCCTAGGGCCTAATGTTTCAAAAGGCCCCAGAATGCCCAGTTGCTGCTGCAGCAGTGGGGTTGCTGGAACCCTGCCCCTTTGAAATGCCATGGAGTGCCATAGTGCCACTCCGCATGGCTTTGAGGACTAGAGCGGGGTACAGTGCCACAGTCTGGTCGGCGCTAAGGGCTGAATGCCTGTGTCCCTGCCCCTTCGGCCTGTGGCCCCGCTCCTTTCAAGAGTGCTGAGCCAGGCCCCCCCCACACACACACACACACTTTGCCCCTGGGCCTGCGGTGGCTGTCGGCCCTGCTGCTTTACTCTAAACCTTTCCAAAGTTTGATTCATTATTTTCAGCAGCTGTTCTTCTGGCTGCAGACTCAGCTGGAGGCTCAGCCTTTCAGAGCTCCAGGTTAGACAGACATCTATCACGGATGGTCTAGACAGTACTGGGTCCTGCCATGAGGGCAAGGAACTGGACTCGATGACCTCCTGAGGTCCCTTCCAGTTCTAGTGTCCTGTAAGTCTATGATTCTATTCCAGCCCAGAGTGGAAAGGCGGAGTCTGCAATACCCGGGTCTAGGCAGCCATTGTGCTCTTTCTGGCCAGACATGAAGTGAGATGTCCCGGAGGTCTCACAGGGCCCTGCTTTTGCAAAATAGGTTTTTGCAAACCCAAGAGACTTGAATTAGAAGACGCTTGAGCAACAGCTTGAATTTTGCATGCTCCTGTGTGCTGCCAAATCTGCTGGTGCCTTCCTGCTAGCGATGTGAGTGCCTGACTTGGGCTTCAATCCTGAGCAAGTGATTGTGCTCCTCTCTTGTTCTGGGACTGCATTCAGACAAGCGCCTTGCCGCATAAATTGCTGTGAACAATTAGGACCTTGCAAGACACAGAGATTTCTGTGTAATGCTAGGGAGCTTGAAAAAGAAATAATCACAGTCTAGTTACCAGGAGACCGGTTTTGTTGACATCAGAGACTCGCACGAGTATTGATACTTGCTGCTGGATAATGGAAGCAGTGGGGGAGAACGTCTTCCATTCCGATCAGGAGTCTGATAAGAAGGGCTATGTCTAGAGCTAACTCCCAAAGAACACTGCTTATTGCTCCTCCTGAGAACATGCCCTTGCAGTGGACACAAGTAACTTGAACAAAAGAATGGCCAGAGTTGGTCAGACCAACGGTCCAGCTACCCCAGTGTCTGCTCTGCCGACAGTGGCCAATGCCAGGTGCCCCAGAGGGAGGGAACAGAACCATCAAGTGATCCCTCTCCTGTCACCCATTTTAGGCCTCTGACAACGAGAAGCTAGGGACACCATCCCTGCTCATCCTGGCTAATAGCCATTGATGGACCTATCTAGTTCTTTTTTAAATCCTGTTAAAGTCCTGGTCTTCACAACATCCTCTGGCAAGGAGTTCCACAGGTTAACTGTGCGCTGCATGAAGAAAAAACTTCTTTTGGTTTGCTTTAAAACTGCTACCTATTAATTTCATTTGGCAACCCCTAGTTCTTATATTGTGGGAACAAGTAAATAACTTTTCCTTATTCACTTTCTCCACACCAATCATGATTTTATAGACCTCTACCATATCCCCACTTAATCTCCTCTTTTCAAAGTTGAAAAGTCCAAGTCTTTTTAATCTCTCTTCATATGGGACCCATTTCAAATCTCTCATCATTTTTGTTGCCCTTTTCTGAACCTTTTCCAATGCCAAGATACTTTTTTTCAAGATGAGGCGACTACATCTGCATGCAGTTTTGATGAAGTGGGCGTACCATGGATTTATACAGAGGCAATAAGATAGCCTCCATCTTATTCTCTGTCCCTTTTAAAATATTTCCTCACATCCCATCCTCACTGGGATGCCAATCAAAGGCTGGATCTGCAGCCTGAGAGGGGATGGTGAGGATCGGACCTGGAGGAGCAGCTGACTGCACACACGCAGGGAAAGGGCCGACTGCAGCAAAACGCCCTGGGACATGTTGGTTCCCATGATCTGTACGGCGCCATACAGTGGGTGCGGGATAATTCATCCCACCAGTTGAGCCTAATTTCTGTTGCACCAACTCTGAAAGATTCATTTTGGATTCCAGGCTCTTCTTGTTCACCCAACAGGATTTCCACGCAGTTCTTGAGCTGCATTAGCTGCCCTCCTCGCTCAGATGAGTTCCGTTCTCCTTTTTCCTTGTGAGTTCACAAGTGGGGTGAGTCAGCCAGCTCAGGCATGACAACAGCCCTGGCCACAGGGATCTGAGGTCACTTCAGGGCAGCACATCACCTGCCAAATGTGTCTCTGGAGGCCGGAGCAGTAGGTGGTACATGGGAAACAAACCAGGGAGGACTCAGTCCCACTGTTGGTGGGCAGACGCCGGGAGCGCACTGTAGTGCCATTTCAGCTGGCACTAATTTGTCCCCTTTTACCTTCACCCTGCCTCTATTATGGGCAATCTTGGCAGAGAAGCCAGGAGCCAAACAGACCCTAGTGAATGAGCTCCTGTCTCCTTGTGGTTCATGCTTCTGGAAGGGGTGGGGCCAGGGCTGTGCCCCCATCCCCAGTCCTCAGAGGTGTGCGGTGCTCTGGCAGTAATTTAAAGAGCCCAGGGCTCCAGCTGCTGCTGCAGTGACAGCAGCTGGGAACCCTAGGCCCTTTTGAATCACCAGGCCCCAGGGCAGTTGGCCCCTCCCCCTACCCGTATCGGAGAGGTGTTCCCTGTAAGCTGGGGGCTTGGGTGGCCACTCAGGAGAGAGTCCAATGCCACCCAGCTGATTAGCTGAGCACCCAGGGCTAATTTTGTTTTTCTTGTGGTGGTGCACATTCACACATGCCTTGGCGCATGTATAACATTTATTTTGCACAAGGACGGACAAATTCTGTGCATAGATGGAAAAGATCAGAGGGGACCTTGCTCCTTGGTGGCCCTGCTCTCTGCATGCAAGCTGTACAGCCTCCGACACTGAAGGTGCTAAATGCTGTGGGAGGCATATGGCTCATATTAACAAGAAAGCCTGGTTTGGTGCTCAGAGGGAGGGAAATTTTGCTCCTGTGCTTTGCCTAATGTCCAACCTAAACCACCTTTGCTGCCAGTTAAGCTCATTGCTTCTTGGCCTGTCCTCAGCCGACATCGGGGCACTAGGCCAAAAGGGTGCCATGCACGTTTTGCAGATGTGTTAGGTGGCTTCAGCAAGGTGCCAGCAACCCCAGTGTCTGTTCCTGGATTTGCAGGCCTGCAGCCCACTGAAATGCCCGTGTTCTCCTGCATCACAGCGGTGGAGCGAGGGAAAGGCCTTGCATGCCAGTGATGCTCTTGGATGTGCAGTGAGGGGGCTGGACAGCAACCTAGCTTGTAGCAAATATTTTCATCTGCCAGACACTCCATGTTGCAACTGTTCCGAAACTAACCTGAGATGGGCAGAGGAGCTGTCCCCAGCATCACACCACTAGGCAGAGTAGGGTGCCAAAGAAACTCAGCACCACTGGTTAGCATGGAGTGACTCCGCATACTAATGGGGACTCTGCAGATCAGGTCTGAGCTGGGCACTGGGTGGGAATCTCTCCCTGCTGCTGCCTCTGCTGTTCTTTCTGGGTCAGCAAAAGGCTCCCGTCTCCAGCGCTGTGAGTCCTGCTGCTGTCTCAGAGCTCCGCTGCCCTGCCCGTGTCTCGAGAGACAGCGGGGCAGGAGGGAGATAGGCTACTGACAGAGTGGGCTCTCACCAGACCCCACTTGATACCCTTGGGTGAAGCGCCAGTGGCCCTCAGCTCCAGAGACAGAGGTTCCCCCTGTACTTGGCTTCTGGAGCCCTGAGCTGTGCACCATGCTCAATCTCCCATGGTTTGCTCCTTGTGAAAAGCAATTATTCAAGCCGCTAACAAAGGTGGGTTTAAAAATCCAAGTTCCTGGTCTGTCCAGCATGCCCCGGGCTCCTGCTGCAGATTGACAATAGCCTAGGCTCAGCCCCATATTCATAATTCTCTGCAGGGTGCAGCCTCCGGCCCTTCACCACCCAAGTGTGCAACCTCTGTAGTTTGAGCTTCGGCAGTAACTCCGTTAGCAGGTAGCAGTAGTAGGCTGTTACCCTCTGAAGCCAGCACGCAGTTTGAGTGTTCTGTGCGCCCACGTGGGACCAGCTCTGCTGGATAGCAAGGAACAATGAGCCCCATATTCATAATTCTCTGCAGGGTGCAGCCTCCGGCCCTTCACCACCCAAGTGTGCAACCTCTGTAGTTTGAGCTTCGGCAGTAACTCCGTTAGCAGGTAGCAGTAGTAGGCTGTTACCCTCTGAAGCCAGCACGCAGTTTGAGTGTTCTGTGCGCCCACGTGGGACCAGCTCTGCTGGATAGCAAGGAACAATGA